CTAAGATGAAGAAGGAGAAGCTGGTGGAACTGGAGCCATGGCAGGGCGAGGCCAGAGCCTGCAATCTGCGCTGGACACAGGAGGGGAGTCCAGCCCTGGGGAAGTGAGGCCACCAAGAGGACAGGCTGGGGGGTCTGCCCTCAGCTGAGGCCTCCATCCTCTGGCTGAGCGGCTGCTCCAGCCCTGGCCCCCACCGTTCAACCCTGGGGACTCACACAGGACTCAACATGCCTTCCTTCTCTCCCGGGTGGAGGCTGAAGTGGGCACGAGTGCTTTCTAAGAGCAAGTGCCAACTCGGTGCCTGAGCTGTGTGCCAGGTGCTTTGTGTGGACAGATGCAGATGGGGGCGGGGGCCACATCTGAGCTGATCTTGAAGGATGCACTGAAGACAACAGAGGAGGAGCAGAGCATTCCCCGCAGGGGGAACCTCCCAGGCAAAGACACACACGGCATCTTCCACAAACTGTAGACAATCTTGAGGCCTGGAGCCTGATGGGTAGGGTGGAAGGGAGAGAGAAAAGCGGGCCAGGCCAGCCCACAGGGGCTTCGCACTCCCTGCCAAGGGCTGGGCTTTCTCTGGGGCTGAGAAGCCTTTGGGGAATTTTTTAGTTTTTTAATTATAGCCTCTTTTTTTTTTATTGATGCCATAGTAGTTTATAACATTATGAGATTCCAGTTATACATTATTGTCAGTCACCGTTTAAATGTGCCCCTTCACCCCTTATGCCCACCCCCCAATTCCCTTCCCCCTGGTAACCACCAAACGGTTCTCTCTGTCCGTGTGTTAGTTTATATTCCACATATGAGAGAGGTCATACAGTTTTTGTCTTTCTCTATCTGGCTTACTTCACTTAACATAATACCCTCCAGGTCCATCCATGTTGTTGCAAATGGGACGATTTTGTCTTTTTTTATGGCTGAGTAGTATTCCATTGTATATATATACCACATCTTCTTTATCCAATCATCTGTCAATGGACACTTGGGTTGCTTCCACTTCTTGGCTACAGTGAATAATGCTGCGATGAACACAGGAGAGCATAAGCCTCTTTGGATTGTTGATTTCAAGTTCTTTGGATAACTACCCAGCAATGGGATAGCTGGATCATAAGGTAATTCTATTTTTAATATTTCGAGGACTCTCCATACTGTTTTCCATAGAGGCTGCACCAGTTTGCATTCCTACCAGCAGTGAATGGTTCCCTTTTCTCCACATCCTCTCCAACATTTGTTGTTTTTTGTCTTAATGATCAAAGCTATTCTAACGGGTGTAAAGGTGATATCTTAGTGTGGTTTTGATTTGCATTTCCACGATGATCAGCGATGTTGAACATCTTTTCACATGCCTATTGGCCATCTGGATATCTTCCTTGGAAAAATGTCTGTTCATATCCTCTGCTTTGGGGAGTTTTTCATGGGGAATGAACTGGGTAAATGTGTTGCCTAGAAAGATGACAGGTAGACGTGCATGGGTGGATTTGAAGGGGAAAACTGGAGGCAGAGAGAATAGGTTGGAGCAGTTGCGAGAGACTGTGCTGGGCGGGATAATCGCTAGACACAGCCAGGCTGGAGGGAGAAGGGGCAGGACTGAGAGACATTTAGGAGGAAAAACAGAGCTCAGTGACCAGTTAACAGGGAGTTCGGGGAGAAGGGACAGTAGGAGAAGAAAAATCTAGACTCACCTTGAGCTTCAGACCTGGGTACTGGGGGGGGGAGGGGAGCACTGAGATGACCAGCAGAGAAAATGGAGACTTGGGGTGAGAGGCAGCTCTTCCAGTGCCGTGCCCTGGAGCACACAGGTAGAGGGGGAGGGCTTCCAATCCCCCTATATTGATCTCCCCCAACCTCCACTTTCCTGATCCTGGAGAAGCTGTGAGATGCCACCAGAAGATGACAGCCACTTCTGAGAAAGACGTACCTGGGATGGGGCAGGGCCCAAAGGGGCAACGAAGCATTTCTCCTGTGCTCCTTAGGGTGACAGACCTCTTTCCACAGGTGGAGACATTGTCCCTCTAAGCCTCTGATTGACACTTGGGGATATCTGGGGACTGTGCCCCATCTACTTTGGGAAGCTTGCATCTGTCTGACGCTTCCATCTTTTCCACCTCAGCTCTTCTTGCCATCCCCACTTTAGCCACTAGATGGCACCAGACTCCACCAGTTGGGGAGGAAGGCTTGGGGCCAAGTAAGGGGAGGCAAAGGCTGTCACTGAAGGGGCCTGCATCTTGAAGGGGTGTCGATTTCACCTAATCTTAATTCAATTTAACTCTTCTAGGATACATTCTTATTGTGGATATATTATTCTTATAAGCAGATTCTTTTTATAGCTATATCGATGAAGAATATACAGAATTCTCACAAATATGCTGTTCTTAGCCTCACCAGCCTCCTCTCTGCTCTTCAGACAACAGAAAAAAACAGCAGGCAACTGAAGTAGAGACCAATTACACATTCCTCAAAATTCTGATATAAAAAATGAGAATTGGGGGCCGGCCCTGTGGCCTAGTGGTTAAGTTCAGCACGCTCTGCTTCAGCAGCCCGGGGTTCAGTTCCCAGGCGCAGACCTACACCACTCATCGGTGGCCATGCTGTGGCTGCGACCCACATACAAAATAGAGGAAGACTGGCACAGATGTTAGCTCAGGGCCAATCTTCCTCACCAAAAAAAAAAAAGAGAGAGAGAGAGAAAGAATCAGTCCAGTTATATTAAAAGGGTGGTTCTCCCCATTGACTAGTCTGCAAACTGGCCAGTTCCCAGGCCTGGATGGTGAGGAGCGGGAGGCGGCCTGTCAGTGCACACCACACCTTGGGCATCCTTGTGCCTGCAGCAGCATTGCCTCACCTCGAGTGGCTCTGCTGCAGGGAGGGCACAGCGTGATTGGAAAAGGTCCCCACAGAGAGCGTGACGGGGAGCAATCGGCAGTATGCGGAGCTCCAAAGGAGAAGGAGAGGCAAACTGGAATCCCGTACGTGGAGAGGAATTCTATATGCAGGACCTGAGCCTGAAATTAGAGGGAAAGAGACTCGTGGGCTGCAAGAGGAGCACAAGTCAGCAGAGTGGCCACAGCATCTGTCAAAGGAGCAGAAACCAGAGAACAGCCCCTGCAGGGGCCAGGCCTGGCCTGAGTGGGTCCTGGGGTGAAGCCTGTCCTGAGCAGCCCCTGGCCAGGGTGCTGACGGGATCAAGGGCAAGGGCAGAGCAGCCCCTCAGGGAGAGCAGAAGAAGCCCCCAGGCCTCAGAAACCACAGTTTTCTTAGGGGCTTCTGAGAAACAGGAGGATACGATGTACTTTCATCTTACATTTTGCATTTTTCTAGACGAGGAATTGAGAAGAGAAGGGGCCATGGGACCAGCAGCCTGGCACTTAGGAGAAGCTCCCAACCCTGGGTTCAGACACAGGGCACAGGGCCTCACCAGCCCATCCCTGATATGGATGTCCTCGCCCCACACGTGGTGGCCTGGTGGCATCAAGTATTTGACACTAAGCAGAAGGGACTAAATTCCAGAACTGGGAAATCACAACCAGTCCAGATCTCACCAGTGGAGTCTTCCCACCCAGATTCCGGCTCACAGCCCCCTTCCTGCCTCCAGTGCATCAACCCCTCTGAGCCACACCCTCCCTCCCGGAGCCCACAGAGCTGCCTCTCAGCCTTCATTCAAAGAGACCCTGAATTCACTTTTTCCAAAAAATGCCCTAGCTGGGAGGAACACTAGTCACATCCTTCCCCAACCTGGACCCAGCCCGGTGCTGCCCCCCACCCCCTGCCGCAGTCCCCACACAGGTATAGCAGGAACACCACGGCCACTCACCTCTTGTTCATGCTTTTATTCTGCAATTGGCAGGTCAGTGTGCACAGCTCCTGGCTTAACCCGCTGTCCTGGGTGAGCCTCGGGTGGGGTGCAGCTGTGAGGTGCTGAGTGGGCTGGGCCAGCGCTTTGAACGAGGGTGGAGGCCAGGGACACCACCCCAGACAAACCGCTTTGAACTTCAGGAAGCCCGTGCTCTCCAGGGAAGATGCTGACTGGGTGAGGGGCCTGTGCTGCCTGGCTGTGGTCCTTGGGTGGTCTTTGCCTTCCTGTGACCCCCCCTGCTCCGCCCCGCCCCCACCCCCTGCTGCAGCTGGGTAGAAGCCAGTCCTCCTCAAGGTCACAGACCTGCTCTCAGGGGCTGATGCTTGGAGCCCAGCTGCTTAAGCTAACTCCCTAATTGCCTCCTAAAATGTCAATAGCTGATTAGACTGACGGCCACCATCTGCATTTTAATGGGGAGGCTGTGGGAATTGAGGGCTCCACAAGTTGACATTAAAGTGTGCTAGGAAGGCCTTGAGGCATTGCAATTCTGGCCTAGCGGGCAGGCCACAGTCTGGTCACGACAGGGGCGGCCCGAGGCTGACTGACCTCCCTGGCTCCCCACACCTGCGTCAAGGTCACTGTCCACTGCCCTCTGGGAAGGGGTGACCTTGGGCCTGTGGCCTACAAATAAGGAGCTAGTCCATCAAAGGAATAGGTCACCTCTCAGGTTGATCCTCCCAGGCCTCAAAAAAAAAGGCCTGAGGCTCAGGCCAGGACCTGTGACTCCAGCCTGGCACCCAAGGATCTGTGGGGGGAATGTCCAGTCCAGGCAGAGGAGCACATGCAGGGAGGGAGAGCGGCAGGGCCCAGGGCGGAGGACAGGTCACCTCTGAGGAGAGGAAGGGTGCGCGAGGCAGGGATCAGGGAAAAGAATACCCTTCCTGATACTTACACCCCTCAGGCAGCCTGAGCCGTGGAGAGAACCAGCCAGGCTTCCTCCAGGACCACAGCCACAGCTGGGACACCCTCAGGCCGGCCTGGTGGACCGTGTCACGGGTGGCGTGTGTCTGCACACATGCGCATGTGCACTAGGAAGGAGGGATCAAGGTGGGCAGTGTGGGGAGAGGGGACGGGGGCAGCTGGGGGGAAGCCGGGCCATGTGGCAGAAATAAAAGTCTATAAGAGAGGGCCCGAGGCTGTGCTCAGGAAGAGGCCCGGTGGGTGTCCTGAGACCAGACAAGCTCCTAAAAGTTGAGGCCCTTCAGGTCCCCGGAGCAGCGGTACCTGCCGTCCAGGCACCTGGCGCACAGCAGGTTGGGCAGGCAGGGACATGTGTGGTGCCGGCGTTTTCTGAAGAAGGGGATCTGGGGAGAGAGGAGAGGACGGATGACACCTTCACCAAAGGGACGTGGCCTCCTGGCAGGAGCCTCTGGTCAGCCCAGCCCTGGCCAATGTATCATCACCCCACCCCAGCACAATAAGAGCTACGAGAGACGAGGAAACTGAGGCACAGAGTGGCTAAGCAACGTGCCAAGATCACACAGCTAATTCGTGGAGGAGCCAGGATTTGAACACAGGCAATCTGGCTCTCAAGACCATGTGATCAGCCACAGTACAATGCTGTCCACCCCGAAGCCTAAAACCCCACAACCCCCAACACTGCCACCCAGGTCCCCTCACTGACCCAGCACACTTATGCACGCACACACTCATGCACACGTTCATTGATCGAATATCACTTATAGCTCACCCATTACGTGCTCAACACTGGTGAGTGCTGGGGATGCAGCTGGACAGACAGACACATCTCTGCCCTGTGACTCACACCCAGAGGAGTGCTGAGCCACTGAGCTTTCCGCAAGGGGGGTGGAACAGGAGCAGTTAGGAGCATAGGTAGTGTCAGATTACCTGGGTTCAAATCCCTGATCTGCCACTTCCCAGCTGTGTGACAACTGACAAGTTATTTAACCTCTCTGTGCCTCAACTTTATTATCTGTAAAATGGGTTAATAATTGCACCTACCTGATATGGTTGTAAAGAGGTTTAAACTACATATTTACAAAAGGCACTTAGTATGAAGAGGGGAACCTACTAAGCCCTCGGCTTTAGCTTTTATTACCAGTGTTCTCCCCTTTGGGAATACAAATCTGCAGCTGAACCACCTCACACACCCCAAGGGACAAGGACTGCTGCTCTGGCCCGCCTTATCTCCCCGCGCCTCCTCGTCCCCCAGGTGGGCCCTGATTGGGAGGGAGACTACTGGAGGATGCCCTGAGCCCAGATGAAACTGGGGCCCCTGGGGGCATGCACGTCCCACAGGAACACGAAGGACCCTTTAACCACACGAAGCCAGGAAAGGGGGCTGGCGAGCCTGGGCTCCGCGCAGGCCCCGCCCCGCTCCTGCTGCTTCCCTCGCCCACGTGCAGGCCCCGCCCTGCTTTGCCCGACCCATCAGAAGCAAAGGCCCGTGGCCCTGCTTTGCCCTCTGGGCTGGGAGCTGGCTGTCACGGGTGAGCGGGACAGGAGCGAGGTGCCTAGAGCACAAAAGAGTGAGTGCCTCCTTACCGTGTGTGTGTGCCCTACACCCCGGCTGGCCTCACCCTAGGCCGGCCCTGGATGGAAGGCCGTTTTGCAGGGCTTATTTCCTGTGCTTCCTTATTTCCTTTGTTCTTATGGAGCAAAGGGCCTTCGGGACCCTTTCAAAACCTGAATGTGTCAGATCCAAAAGAGACTTTAAGGGTAATTGGTCCACTCCCCTCGTTGTATACGTGAGGTGACTGCAGCCCAGAGCAGTTATGCTAATTGCCCAAGACCCCTCAGCAAATGAGGAGCTGGGGTCCCAGCCTCTAGATGTACAGGCTGTGTGATTAGCACCCACACTCCACCCCAGGCTCCCCCAAAAAGCAAGGAGGCAGTGCCCGGCGTCAGTGAGATATTACTAGGGCTGGAGCCAGAAAACTGCGGTTCCAGTCCCCACCCTGCCTCGCCTGCTGTGTGCCCCGAGCAGGTTTGCGCAGTACCTTATGGCTGCCGGGGTGGCAGTCCTCTCCTGCCCGCCCCAGAGGCGTGCACATGCGCAGCCCGCGCAGCCACAGGCTGACCGCACAGCAGGTGCCCAGCCCGCACTGGACGTCCTGCTCACAGGCCTGCGGGGAGAGACGGGGGGGGGGGGGGGGACATGAAGGAACCCCCAGCGACAGCACCGCCGAGGGGGGGGGGGGGGGGCCTTAGTGCCTGTTAGTGCCCCCCCGGAGAAACCAGAAGGAAAAGGTACATCCAAAACCCCTTTGTTGGGGGACGGGGGGCAGGAGGAGGGTCTGAGAGCAGCCTCCATCCCCCCTCAGACTCGCAGGACACCTTGGGCTGTGCATCATTATTGCCCCTGCTCCCTTCATGGCAGGAGGCTCAGGGCTCAGCCGGACGTCAGACCTGGATCTGAGGAACCCTCCTAGCTCCTCTGAGGCCACTCAGTACGGAGGCAGTCCTCCTCTTCTGACCAGCCTAGAGGTCAGGAGACATAGCTTTCCTAGCGCCGGTAGGTGCTCAGTGGATGCTGGTGGAGCTGAATTAGTTTGAACTCATAGAGCAGGGAGGGGCTCTGACGGCCCCAGCTCCTAGGTGGTCAGTGCTGAGTTTCCTTGGAAGGGGACTATCCAGCCCTGACCCTGCACCCGGGGTTGGTGCCTTCGCTCTCCACATTGGCACCCCCTTGGCCCTCACCAGAAGACCAGGCTCATCTGAGGTGCCAGCGCCCCACAGAACAGATATCTCCCCCAGTGCTTCTCTGCTGGCCTCCCTGACCCCCAGATAGGGATGGACCCTCCGGGCTGGGCTCCCAGAATAGAGACTGAGTGGCCCTGCCTGGTTTCTGCAAGGTGCCATTTGTAAAGAAGGCCACACAAGCCCACTTTTGACAGAAGCCTGGATTGAGGAAAAGAGAACTCTGAACTGCTCCAGACCCAAGGGGGCCCACGATGGAGAAGCACCCAAACTTCCCACTTCCAGAGAAGCTTTGTGGCTTTTCTGAGCTGAAGTTCAGAGCTGTGTCTTGGTTCCCTCTTCTTCTCCAACAGAAGGCCATGGAGCACCCTCTGGCTGCCCATGGGGGACGTGGCAGGAACTGGAAGCTCCCAACTCGCTTGCCTCCAGGAGGGAAGTGGGGGATGCTGGGGCTGCTTGTCACTCAGAGGAGGTGCAGGTGGTGGTCACCTGGCCGTGCCAGTCTCCAGCCCCGTGAGGGCACATCTCACACACTGACCAGCCCCTGAAAGCTCAGGGGTAAGCCCAAGTAGACCCCACCCGACTCTCCTCCCACAGAGGTGGGCTGTCGCTGTCCCACTGTGGGAGGAGGGACCACCCAGGCCTGAATTCAGGAGGTCGCAGTCCAGGGAGCAGGGTAGTGTGGAGACGGTAGAATAGCGGCCTTCCTGAGAGTCCCACTGGGGGCCCCAGTGGGACTAGGACAGGGCATGGAGAGGGGAGGGAGGCTGGGAGGCCCGACCTGCCTTCCGCGCCCGGTTCTAACCGCCCACATCTGTCGTGCATTCCTTGTGCCCTAGCTTTCTCTCTCAATGTGCTTTTCAAAGGGGCCCCTTGACGGCTTTACCAGGAGGATGCTTTCCCACATCTCTCAGACCTGCTTCCTGCCGTCACTCTGGGCCAGATGTCAGAGCTCACGCGGTGAGGGACCTGAGTTTGGAGTCACCCTGCTGCTCGAATCTCAGTGGGGTACCCATGGCTTCCCTCCTCTGCCCTTACCCTCCCGGATCTTCACGCTGCACAATAGGAGGACGGCCTCCAGGGGTGTACACTCATTCCGTATAATTCCACCCGAACCATTTTATTTATGCTCTGGGTCTCAAAGGCACTGGCTTTCCTTTAATATTTGCTCTTCTTTGAAACTCAGTCTTTTCTCTCTAAAAAGGAGAAGAGAGCAATTTTCCTTTCTATGAAAATTAAAACTAATCCGATTCCAGGAATTGTTTGGCATTTCTCTACATTTCCATTCTCTATGTAAAAAGTTGGGAGAGGTTGAAATAAAAATGAATTTCTCTCTCTTTTTTTTCTAGTGGCTTTTATCTGGAAAGCTCTCAGGTGACGAGTTACTTTCTGTTTTAATAAGAATGGTCCCACCACCATAACACAACCTGTGCCCCATTTGAGGGTGTTCCACGTAAAGCCAAACTTCTGAGAGAGGACCACAGCCTGAGGATTTTGAACACTGAAGTGTGCAGTGCCCATGTGGGCAGAAGCTCTGCTGTGGGGCTGGATTTCTCCTGTTATCTGAGGCCTGCTTTTGGGGACACTCAGCCAAACGTTGGTGTCGCCCATATTCCTATCAGAACTGGGCACAGAGTGAAAACACACAGTGATGGAAAGAAAGAGATTCAAGAGTAAAGAGGGGCTGGCCTGGTGGCTTAGCTGTTAAGTTTGCACACTCTGCTTCAGGGCTTCGTTGGCCCAGGGTTCTCAGGTTTGGATCCCGGCGTGGACCTACGCACAGCTTGTCAAGCCATGCTGTGGTGACGTCCCATATATACAGTAGAGGAAGATGGGCACGAATGTTAGCCCAGGGCCAATCTTCCTCAGCAAAAAGAGGAGGATTGGCAACAGATGTTAGCTCAGGGCTAATCTTCCTCACAAAAAAAAGAAAAAAAGAGTAAAGAGATTCAAGACAGGCTTTCCTAAGAGTAGAGACAGCAGAGGTTAAATGTACCCAGTAGAAGTTAATAAGATCACCACCTTTAACGAAGTCAACATGCTGTATAAATGAGACTTGGCACGTGGACCAGACAGTATATGAAAACCAAAACTTACACAAAACATAAATTAGGGGGTGCTAATCCACTTTGTAAAGGAATCCCTTATTACACAATAGGAATCCTCATTTTACCAAAGAACTGAACTTCAAAATTTTCAACGCTCTCCTAATGCATTGAAAACAGGATTGATTTACACACGGCTTCTCAAAAGCAGATATCCTTTAGCAGGGTGAGGTGTAACGAAGGGGAGAATCATGTGGGATCCCTCTTGGAAGTGCTGTCTGATGGCTAACACCCCGTCCTTTTGGTCTGCCTCCTGTGTGGTTCCTGCCTCCCCTCTCATGCAGACCCTGACGCCCTCCCAAAACCCAGGCAGAGACTGTGAGAGGACTTACCCCCGTGATCACGGCACAGTCGGACACAGTCACCAGGAGGAGCATGAGTGAGACTCCCATGGCACCTCTCATGGTCACTCAGGGTGAAGGCAAACACTGCCCACTCAGCTTCCTCCCACTCAGCCTGGTGCCACCAGCTGGGAAGGCCAGGAGCTCCGGCCCCCTCCTTCCTCCTAGATTTATATGGTCCGATTCAGGCTGCCTGTGGACGCCTGTCTCCTCTCTTCCCTTCCCCATCACCAGTGTTATTCAGATGATCTCAGACACGAAGATGAGACCTGCATCCCTAATGACATCAAATCACCATCAAAACCAATAAAAATGAACACATCGGGGGCTTTGACAGTTGCTGTAACTCTCCAAAGAACGCAGTGATCCATGAGTTATGCACCTTGCACTCCATAGTCTTCTCTGCCTCTGGGGCATCCTTCTGTTTTGCTTGGGGTAGGGGGAGGGCTTTGGGAATGAATTAAGGGATTTGCAGCATCACCATTTATCCTTCCCTGCACCAAACCGTGCAACATATAAGACCATCCGTTCCCTCACATTCAAGCCAGCAAGAACTATCTGGGCATATACTGTAGGCTCAGCACGGAGTTGGCGGCTGAGAGGACACAATGGGTAAGGCAGTGTCTCTGGTCCTCTAGAAGGTTAAAATTTCAATGGGGAGACATGAGATGGTGAGACAACAAGGTCAGACTGTGGGGTTGATGTTCCTGAGAGGCGCACATAAGGACGTGCTCTCTAACAAGCTCAGGATGCACACCGAGTGTCACTTGGTACAGGAACCAAAGGCCAGAAGATAAGCCAGCACGCAGATCCCTGCAGAGAAGCGTGCTTGGGCTGGAATGCAGGTGAGAGGTACCAGGAGCCACACTGTGCCTTCCTGTTTTGTGAGTGAGCGTGAGAGTGGCCTCATCTACAGGCGAGCAAATACCGTGGGCTCAGACGCCAGTCTTGTGGGAAGTGGACTTTGGGCATGGCCCCCCTGGTCTCAAACACCCCCCGACCCCAGTGCCAGACAGCCCAGAGAGAGCTCCCGGGATACTCTGTCTGACAATTCGACTTCCCTCCACAGTGATAAGAGCCATCATTTCCCAAGGTCCGTCCTGCAATATGTTAATAGGCGCTACACACACAAATGAATAAATAAAAGATCTCTACAGCCAAAGCTTTGGGAAACACTGATTCCACAAGTTCGACCAGCTTTTTCACTGCAGGAATTCTCAGGGTCTTTCATACGCCAGCAAGCGTTTGAAACACCAAGCAGGGAAATGCAACGTGTCGTATTTCCCACACAGATTCATCCACAAAACGCTTTCTTGGAGTGTCTCAGGGGAAGAGGGCTCCCACACAGAAAGGTCGACAGGTGTGTATGAGTGCAGAGAGAGGACCTAGCACAGCAGCTAGGAGCTAGACCCCAAAGACAGACGTTTGACTTCTGATCCCAGATGGCTCGTCAGCTTCGTGCCCCTGAGAACAGTGTTAACCTCTCTAAGCCTCAGTGTTCTCGTCTACAAATGGGGGTAATAGTAGCACTTACGTGGTGGGGTTTTGTGAGTATTCATCCACTTATTTATTCAGTGACTGTATATTTATTTATAACAGCTCTATTGAAGTCACCTTTCTTAGTGCTGGAAATAGAACAGTGAGCAAAACAAGGTCCCTGACCTTATGTAACTTTGATTCTAGTCGGGGAGAGGGGTAATAGAGAAATAAACAAATAGATTTCTAATAAATAAAAAGCTAAGTGTGCTGAGTGCCATTAAAAAGGAAGGCAGGGAAGATGACAGAGCGTGATGATGGGTGCTATTTTAGATGAGGTGGGGGTCTCTCCGAGAAGACACTTGAGAAGGCCTGATAAAGTGAAGGAATGAACTGGGCAGAGCCTGGGGGAAGAACCAGTGCAAAGGCCCTGTGGCCTTTGGCCCATTCCAGGAGCAGCAAGGTGCATAGTGAGCAGGGGAAGGGAGGGGAGGGGATGTGGTTGGAGCAGGAGCCAGGGGCCGTGCCCTGCCCACCTTGCAGGACGTGGAGTGGGCTTGAGTGCAGGTGTGACGGGAGCCCTCAGTGGGTTTGGAGCACGGGAGGAGCAAGATGGATTTACGCTTTGAAATGATCTCTCTGGCTACACGTGGAGAATTAAGTGACATGATGCATGTGAAGTGCTCAGTGGTATGGCACTTAGCAGCATTTGCTAACTATTGGTGATTCCTATCATAAAAATGATGAGCCTGTCTGCCTTAACATAAAATTCTCCTGAGAGGTGAGAATCAGAAGAAAAAGTCTGTACGGCCCACCTGTACACTGTGACACTGAGCCAGGCACACGACAGGAGAACCAAGAGACCACTCCTGCCTGTCAGGAGCTCAAGGGACGTAGGGAGAAGGCAGCATCGGGCTCTGGGTGCCCTGCACAGACGGCCCCACCTCACACAGGTCACCTTGCGAGAGACAAAGTTCAATAATAGCTGATTCTCAGGCTAGCTCCTCCATCCCCTCCCACCTCCCATTCTCACCCTCTCCCTCCCCAGCTCCTCCCCGAAACACACAGAACTCGTTATCCCACACAATGGCATGAAGAAGTGGAGCGAGAAATACTATTGCAAACAGAACCAATAGCGTTGATTGAAAGCATGTTATTTATCTTGAGCGCTGGTGCTTGAGGAAAAGCCAGTTTCATGAGAGAAAGGCAAGGGGTGGATGGTGACTCAGTGGAAATCTCAGAGGAGACTTTGGGGAGCTTTAGGGGTTCTTTACCCAATTACTCGATTAAGCAAACTCTCGCGGAGTGCCCTCTGCACAGTCAGGACCGGGGGCTCACGGTTATTGTGTCTAATTTTTCTGTAGAACTTAGAGCTCTCCCGTTCCTGCACAGGTGCATTTCAACTGTATTCTCGACACATTTTAGCCAGATTAGGGTTACTTTTTGGCTGACAGATGTCATGCAGAAAAGGAGAGTGGGAACTAAGCAGGCGGGAACGGGAGGAAACAGAGAAGGAGGTCGGAGGTGAAGTGATGGGGGAAAAGCGGGGAAAATGGTGACAAGTGCTGACAGTGCACTTGCTCCTCTTAAGGGAGAAGAAAGCTAGTGAGCTGTGCCAGGCACACCTTTCCTGGACTCCGACCCATCCAGAGGGAGTGGGCGGGGCAGGAGGCAGCCCACTGTGGAGCCTTTGTATGAGAGGGCTTCACCTGAGACTGGGGACTAGGCCCTACGTCTCTACTTTGGTTTATGCCAATGTCACCATTTTCCAGGACTGTACAGCTCTGTGTGTGTGTGTGTGTGTGTGTGTGTGTGTGTGTGTGTGTGTGTGGTGAGCAAGGGCCACTCTCTCGGGTGCAGGGCAAACCCTGGGACGGAGGTCAGGGCCCAGGACAGCCCTGACCTGGCCTAGTGCCTGAGGTTGTTCATCTGCAGAATAAGTTGGCCTCCAAGGGGGTCTGGGGCCCCTTCCAGCTCTACCAGGGGGTCATTGAAAGGGGGTGCATGAGTGTCACAAAACGTGATCACTTCTTTATTTGTTCCTTGCTAACGATTAAACAAGAGTTGACTCTGACTCATTTAAGAAAGATATGAAGAAAGAAATAAGCAATCCAACAGTGGAAACCCCATCTTCTCAACCAGGGTGCTCCACCTGGGTCACAGCCCCCACAGGAGCTCACTGAACAGAACTCAGAGGATCCATGAACTTGGGTAGAGAAAAGAATTGTGTCTTTATTCTCACTAACTTCTAACTGAATTTTAACCTTTTCTTCTACTCTAACTGTAGGCCACAAACACAGAAGTATTAATAGTACCTGTGTCTTTGTCACCAAGAGAAATTACGGACGTTTCAATATCAGATTACTGTTGTTGCAAGTGGCTCAAAACATTTCTGCTCATCACTACACTGAAATCGTGGTAGTTATCAGGCCCACTGCGAGACTGTTATTTGATGTGTTAATAAAGAAGCATATACGTTACCATATCACAAATTTGTTTTTAACATAAATGTTGATAACTGTATTTCAATATAATTGATTTGCTTTGTAATCTTACATCTTTTATTGTATACATTTAAAAACATTATTCTGAGCAGGAGTCGTGGGCTTCAAAGGGGTCCGCGGTACAAGAATAAGTAAGAACTCCTGAGGCACAAGGAGGAGACTTAGAGAAAAGATTCAGTTTAGTGACACGTAGGGTCATAAGTTTGGGCTAGTTAAAAGAGAGAACCTGAAACTGGACACATCTGAGAAAAGATTGTAAAGAAGGAGAAGCAGGAAGAAGAGGAAGGAGAAGTAGAGGACACAGCAGCAGACAGAACAGGCAGGAGAGAGCAGTCTCTGGGGACAGAACAACAGGACTGAGAGAGTCAGAGGCTGTGTCCACATTGAAGGGCCACAGGAAGAGGTGGCTCCTAATCTAGCTCCAGGCAGACTCCTTCCCCAGTCCCTGAGTCTTCCTGACTCATATATAACTTACGTCCCCATCTACCTCATCTTCAGAACCCTTTGGGTTTTAAAAAGCCAATGTTGGGGCCAGCCCGGTGGCGTAGTGGTTAAGTGTGCGCGCTCTGCTGCCGCAGCCTGGGGTTCAGATCCCAGGCATGCACCGAGGCACCGCTTGTCAAGCCATGCTGTGGCCGTGTCCCATATAAGGTAGAAGAAGATGGGCACAGATGTTAGCTCAGGGCCAGTCTTCCTCAGCAAAAAGAGGAGAATTGGCAGATGTTTGCTCTGGGCTGATCTTCCTCAAAAAAAAAAAAAAAACATATTGCCAATGTTACCGCACCAGATCCGTTTCTGCCCGCTGGGCAGAAAGCCAATCACAGACACAACGAGATTGCAGAGAGAGAGGGTTTATTAATCACAAGGCAGCCAAGTGTGGAAACGGAAGAATGAATCTCAATTCCACTTCCCCGAAAACAGGGACTCAGGGATATTTATGGGGTAGGGGGCAAGGTGGTCTGAAATGATTGGAGGTGAGGAGAGGTGAGGTAATTGATGATCTGCGCAAGCGTAGTCAGGCTTCACGCCTCTTCGTAGGACGCATGTTCACAGATTGGTGGCGTTAGCATGCCCTGAGGATGG